CGGAATCAACTCGATGGCAGTGAGTTGTATGGACGATCTTTTCTCAACACTTGTTCAATCTGTATGCGGAGCACAAACGTCTGAGAAACTGGATGCTAAGAAGTACCACGATTGGGGGAAGGCTTAGGAACGTCTTTCGAGACGCAGGTGACACAACCTGGCTTGCTGAAACAAGGAGGACTTGAAACACGTGCTGGTGAGCATCAGGGACAGCAGCCGGCAGTGTGGACTACAACTCCACGTCGAGAAAACCCAGATCCTCACACTGGACCAACAGACAACATCATGACCAGCGGACTGCAGCCGTCAAGGATTCATTCACTGCTTGATGGATCCGCAACCCATTCTCATGGGACCAGCATTCAAGAGGGCAAACAACGCATTGCATTAGGTAACTGCCGCACAAGACCTCTTTAAAGTGTCTAAGAGCAAGGGTGCCACGTTGAAGACTAAGGTAGCGCTTGATCCAAGCCCTGGGATTTTCACCGGCCTCGTGTGCACCTGAAAAGTGGGATTGAGAAGGAAGAGTGAAGAAGAGCTGATGTATCTGAAGGGTGCTCTTGGCAAAGAATATCGAGGGTGGCACGGACTACCAGGAGAACAAACATATCTGTCCTGGAAGACGTACAGCCAGGATGCTCCTTCGAATCGAGGGTGGCAAGACTTCTCCCACGTCTTTCGGACATGTGATCAGGAGACACTAGTCCCTGGAGAAGGACATTGCACTCGGCAAAGCAGAGGGGCAGTGGAACAAGAGGAAGCCCCTCACCCGGATGGACAGACCCAGTGGCTGCCACTGTGGGCTCACACGGAACCACAGCGAGGAAGGTTCCGTTCTGTTGTGCGCCAGGAGTTGGAACCCAGTCCGCTGCACCTGCTACCACCACCACCTGTAGGATTATACGGAGTGCAGCTAGGTGGGGTGGGGGTCGCTCAGGCCTTGGAGGGGGCGGAGCTTGGAGCAGAAGAGGTGGAAGAGAAGCCCTGCTGGAAGAGAAGGGCTTGGCCTTGAAGGGGTGATGTTGGGAGAAGGGGTCAGGGAGAGGCTCTGAGCGTCACAGTGGGATTTGGCCCACTCTAACCGGGGTCTCCACGCAGGAGAGGACAGGCCCTGGGTTTGAGTGAGATAGGAAGGGAGATAGGAAGAGAGGTGGGGTAGAGAGATGAAGGGGTGGGTGTACAGTGAGGACAGTGGGTGGGATCTCTGAAAGGGGTGAGTGGAAGGAGGTGGGGCAGAGAAGGAGAGGGTTGGGGGGGGCACAGTAAGGTGGGGCCCACGCCTCCCAGAGAGGGACTGGGGCTCAGCCCTGTCCCTCTCCATGCCTACTAGGCCCTCCAGCCCTTCTGTGACTTTCCTGAAATTGTGGACATTAGCATCAAGCAGGCCCAGCACATGGGCCCGGCCGGGGAGTCCCGTCTGGTCACGATCACCAGGACAGACAACCAGATCCTGGTGGGTGTGGGGGGGGCCCCTTCCCCCTCCTTCCTGGTTTCCCCTGGGGGTGAGGCAGGGGACCAGCCTCCCTGAACCAGAGCCGGGAGCTGATGGGAGTTCTGTGCGCAGGAGGCCGAGTTCCCTGGGCTGCCGGCTGCATTGTCCTTTGTGGCGCTTGTGGACGGCTACTTCCGGCTGACCACCGACTCCCGGCACTACTTCTGCAAGGAGGTGGCCCCCCCACGGCTGCTGGAGGAAGTGGCCGAGCAGTGCCACGGCCCCATCACGTAAGGACCTGGCCGGTATCTGCCGTCACCCTTACTGGTGCCCCCAGCCCGGCCACCGCAAGTCATTTCCCTTCTCGGCACCCAGGACAGGAGCAAAGGCACTCAAAACTTTGCCTGGTACACAGTTGGGGCCCCAGGAGCCTGGGGTCTCTCATCTGCTGGTCCGGTGCTGCTCCCCAATCTGACTTGTGGGCCCCCGGAGCCGTTTCCGGAGACAGACCGGGAGGGCTGTCATCATGTCCATGCCCCAGAGGAGGCTGAGTTTTGTCTCATTGTATAGATGAGGGAAGGGGTTGTTAGCCCATGGGCTCCCCCGCCCCGCCACCCCCGGAGTGATGGGGATTCGAACCTGGATCCCGCTTTCTCTCACTGCCTGTCTCTCTCTTTGATTTCCCTCCACCTGCTACTTCCCACCCACCTATCCCCACAGACTGGATTTTGCCATTGACAAGCTCAAGACCGCAGGCTCACTCCCTGGCTCCTACATTCTCCGCCGAAGCCCCCAGCACTTTGACAGCTTCCTCCTCACTGTCTGCGTCCAGGTGTGACCCTCTGGTTTCCCTCTCCGGCCTGGGGGAGGGGGCTCTTGCTCAGGGTTAGGAGGGCTATCTGGAGGAGGCGACCTGCAAGATGGGTCCGTAATTGCCTGGTGAGGAAGGGGAGGGAACAGCATTGTTGTGGGGGGAACAGTCTATGCAAAGTCCAGAGTCAGGGATGAGCTGGTGGTGCTTAAGGAAGAGGGAGTCTGAGGGAGGGTGGTGCCCGCTCTCCCTCAGCAACTCCTCCTCTCTGCAGACTCCCCTTGGTCCGGATTTCAAGGGCTGCCTCATCCTGCAAGATCGTACCGGAACCTTCTCTCTGTCTGGCCTGGGCCGGCCCCACGGCAGCCTCCGAGAGCTCCTGACAACATGCTGGGATGGGGGGCTGCATGTGGATGGGGTTGCACTGAACCTCACCTCCTGCTGCCCCCCCAGGCCCAAAGGTGAGCCTGGACCCTGGCTTTCTGGGTCAGTCGCAGCTTTGTGTGGCAGGTGGCAAGACGCGCAGGTCAAGCTGGTTGGTGGGCAGTGTGGCGTTGGCTCTCACTCAGTGCGATCCTGTGTTCAATGGAACGAAGCACTGCCCAGCCCTGCCCCATCCTCACCATCGTGGTTATGCTTTAAGCCCATTGTGGCAGCCACTGTGCCAATCCATTTAGTGGAAGGCCACCTTCTTTTTCCTTTGAGGGCAGGGAGGTGATGGGCTGCTCAGCAGTTCAAAGCTTCCTTTCTAGTGTCTCTCAGTCGGAATCAACTCAGTCGCAACGAGGGCTTCCTTCAGGTACAGCTGGATCTAGGTGCAGCTGCACCCTCACTGCCTTCAATTCTGACTCAGAGGACAGAGGACAGCTGCCCCTGTGGGTTTCCGAGGCTGTAACTCTTTAGAGAGCCTCATCTTTCTCCTACCAAGGACCTAATGGTTTTGAACCGCTGACCTTTTTGGTTAACAGCCCAATGTGTGACTCACTATGCCGCCAGGGGTCCTAGCTGCATCCTGGAGATGTCACCAAGCTTAGTCTCTCTCCGTCTCTTGCCTCTTGTCCTGGGTGAATTTTGCCCTCAAACTCCTTGGATAGGAGATGTGAGTTCTCCAGAACCTCTCCGGACCGAGTCCTGGCTGCCCCTGAGTTGTCCCTTCATTGTCACCCCTGCAGGGCCTCTTCCCTCCCTGTCTCTCCCCCAAATTCTGCCAGGGTCACCTCCAAACAGAGCCCCCGAGTCCTTGAGTCACAGCTGGCTTCTGGAAGGGACCCCCAAATGAACACAGGCAGTACTCCTTGGGGACCTCTCACCTCTGACCTCTCATTCCTCACCCCACCCCATTCTTATAGAGAAGTCCAACCTGATCGTGGTCCGGGGAGGCTGTAGCCTGCCTACGTCACCCCCCATTCAGCCCCAGGCCCAATGCCAGCTGAGCCAGATGATGTTTCACAAGATCCCCTCTGACAGCCTGGAGTGGGTAAGGGGATCTGGGATGGAACAGGACCGTGCCTCAGTTTTCCCCTCTGTAAAATGAGACCAGCACCTGCATTTTGCTTGGGCCAGAGTTTGGGGACTGGGATGCCCAGGAAGCCCTCTGACGGCTCCTCCCTCTCCAGCATGAGAACTTGGGCCATGGGTCCTTCACCAAGATTTACCGGGGTCATCGCCAGGAGGCGGTAGACGGGGAGGTCCGGGAGACCGAGGTGCTGCTCAAGGTGATGGACGCCAAGCACAAGAACTGCATGGAGGTGAGGAGGGCAGGCGGGGCGGTCTTTGGGGTCAGGGGCGTGGGCTGGAGAAGCGTCAGAACACAGGCCCTCAGAAGGACAGCAGCATTTCCAGACCTTGGGGCACAGAAGCCTGGCGGGATTGGGAGCGGACAGGGAGCGTCAAGGCGCAGGAGCGACCAGTGCAAAGGCTCTGGGGCAGGACTGAACCTGCCGTGTTTTCAGGAACAGCGATTAGGCCCAGTGAGCTCGAGGAGAGTGCCCTGGGAAAGAGGGGGCACGTGGGCAGAGATAGCTGCATCTGCTAGAACAGAGGTTCCTAAATTTCCTTGGCCTACGCCCTCGGTTAAAAGAACAATTGCTCAGCACCACCCCTCCAGCCATGAAAAGTGTCTGTGCTACAGACCCAGGTAGTTGCTTTTCCAGGGCCCCTGGATTGTTGTGGCACTCCTCTAGGGGGAGGTGTCACCCTTGAACCTCCCCCTTCTGGGTGAGAGACTCCAGGTAGACTCTAGGGGGAACACCCCTCCCCCCACAGAAGCCCTTCAGAACAGAGCGATGTGGGCAGTGATGACAGGCCCTAGGAAGCCTGTGGCCTAGGTGTCTCCTAGGCAGGCTTATAAGCAACCAGGTGTGGAGTCCCGGGGTGGAGGGACCCACACGTCTTCTCTCCCTCTCCCCCCCTCCCTCCCAGTCGTTTCTGGAAGCAGCGAGCTTGATGAGCCAGGTGTCCTATCCGCATCTTGTGTTGCTGTACGGCGTGTGCATGGCTGGCGACAGTGAGACACCGCCCCCACCCCCTGCTCCCGGCCCCGCCCCAGCTCAGATGGCTCCTCCCCTCCCTGAGCGGGGACCTGGCTGCCCATGAACGTCTCCCCATACTCATTCCTCCAGCAGCAGTCCCCACCCCCAGAGGAGTCTCAGGTCACACAGACCTGAGTGCCAATCTCCCCTTTGCCTGAGCTCCTTCCCCAAGCCTTTCCCACAGCCCTGCAGGTCAGCCCCTCAGAGTGGGAGCCCAGATGGAGAGACCTAGAGAGGGAGGCCATCACAGCCGGACCTTGAAACCCGCGCTGGAATTCCCCAGGAGGAGAAAGGAAAGTGGAGGGCAGACCGAGACAGGCTGGGGGTGGGAGAACTGATAAGGCAGCACAGGGAAGGGCCAGAGGGCCGAAGAAGCTGGCAGAGAGGCAGTCAGATCCGCCTGGGGGCTGGACTACAGAGGATCCAACAGGATGCCAGGAGTCTAGGAAGGGTCTGGGCAGGAACAAGTGGCCTTTGGAAGGATGAGTGAGAGTGGGTTAGGAATTGGCAGCGTCCTGAAAATGTGGTGATGGGGGATGAGGTGGTCAGGGGAGAGAAAAGAAAACAACACCCCAAAACCCCTCCCCAAGCCAGACTTACTGCCACGGAGTCAATGACAACTCGTAGCGGCCTTGTAGGACAGGGCGGAACTGCCCCTGTGGGTTTCCAAGGAATGGCTGGTGGTTCTGCACTGCCCACTTAGCGGTTGGCAGCCCAGTTTGTCACCCACGATGCCACCAGGGCTCCCAAAAGTGAGAGGCAAGGATCATTCGGACTTAAGGAGGGGGAGAAAGAGGGATGTTGTCGGTAGAGGGTCCATCCCACAAAAAGAACTGGAGAGGAGGTCGAGAGAAGAAGCGAGCGTGGTACCTTGCAGGCATTTAGGGGAGAGTTGAGGATTGCAGAGAGAAGGGAGGCAGAAAGGTGGACAGGTGTTACGATGCAGCTGCTGGTGGGGAGGGGCGGCAGAGTCGGAGCTGAAAGTTCGAGTGACCCCTCAGTTTGGGATGGGGACAGAGGGTGCTCAATGCAAGTCTAGTCCAGCCTTCCATCCCCGCCTTTCTGCTGCCACCAGGCATCATGGTGCAGGAGTTTGTGCACCTGGGGGCGCTGGACACGTACCTGCGCAAACGTGGCCACCTGGTGCCAGCCAGCTGGAAGCTACAAGTGGTCAAGCAGCTGGCTTATGCGCTCAACTACCTGGTGAGTGTCCCTCTGCTTGCGCCCTGCTTCCCTGCTCACAGGGAAGGATTCCTCTGGGTGGAGTCAGGCTTTGAAGTAGAGATAGGAGTTGGTGAGCATATCAGGGGAAGGCTTTTCAGGCTGAGGGAATGGCATCTATACAGGCCGAGAGGTGTGAGAGCACAAGAAGGGAATCACCGGTCATCAGTGGTACCTGAAGTTGGAGAGAATAGTGGAGGGGACATGGGAGCTGGGGCCTTGAAGATTGAGTAGGAGTTCAGCAACAGGAGAAAGGGAAGAGCACCTATTAGGCTGAGAGAACAACCTGGGCAAAGGCCTACTGGCCGGATGTAACACATGCCCTGGGAACCATCGAGCAGTTTGTTGGCAGGGGAAGGAAGCGAGAGAAGCTCATGGGACATGGGAAGAGTGGGCAAGGTCTGAGTCAGACGGACCTTTAAATGCCAGGCTGAAGACCTTTGCGTTTGTCCTCAAGGCAAAGGGGAGATTTGGGAGATGGACACAATTAGGTCAGCATGGGAGCTGGACTGCAGGGGGCTAGATAGGAGTCCAGGAGTCCAGGGAGGATGCTGGAGCATGGTTTGAGCAATACTAGATGGGTTTTGAAGGATGTGTAGGAGTTTGCCAACCAGCAGATTCAGTCCTCAAATGCTCCTGTGTCCTGCCCATTTAGGAGGACAAAGGCCTCCCCCATGGCAATGTCTCGGCCCGGAAAGTGCTCCTGGCTCGGGAGGGGGCTGATGGAAGCCCACCCTTCATCAAGCTGAGTGACCCCGGGGTTAGCCCCACAGTGCTAAGTCTGGAGAGTAAGTGCCAGGGGGCAGCAGAGGGCAGAGCCCCATTGGGCGGGGAGGTAGAGCCCTGACCACCTTTCCCTTGCGTCCAGTGCTCACCGACCGGATCCCCTGGGTGGCCCCCGAGTGTCTCCAGGAAGCCTGGACGCTCGGCTTGGAGGCTGACAAGTGGGGCTTTGGTGCCACGGTCTGGGAGGTGTTCAGCGGGGTGCCCGTGCCCATCAGTACCCTGGAACCCGCCAAGGTCAGAGCTCCCCACCCGGCATTGGCCTTGAGAGCCCCCATTTGGTAGAAGGGCAGACTGAGGGCCAGCGTGGGCAGGTCTGGCTCCAGGTGTGGCCAGCCCCACTTGTCACCCTTAGAAACTCCAGTTCTACGAGGACCGGCGGCAGCTGCCAGCCCCGAAGTGGACGGAGCTGGCCCTGCTGATCCAGCAGTGCATGGCCTATGAGCCGGGGCACAGGCCCTCCTTCCGGGCTGTCATCCGAGACCTCAACAGCCTCATCACTTCAGGTGCTCACAGGGTGAACGGGGTGGGCAGGGGTTACCCAGAACTTAGTCACGTGATCATGGTGCACCATGGTGGTGGCTGGCAGAAGGGTGTCTCCCTGTGTTCCAGCTCCACAGGCACAGGTTGTGCACTGAACCTATGAGTTGCACAAAGCTGAGCCTGCCATGGTGCACAGAGAGGGTGATGCGGCAGATAAAGGTCACACAGCCCGTCAGGCCAGGAGCCCAACCTGGGGTGAAATGTGCTGCTCATCTCCTGCTTGGCCCCTCAGATTATGAGCTCCTCTCGGACCCCTCGCCTAGCGCCCTGGCCCCCCGTGAGGGGCTGTGGAGTGGTGCCCAGCTGTATGCCTACCAGGACCCCACCATCTTCGAAGAGAGGCACCTCAAGTACATCTCACAGTTGGGCAAGGTGAGGAGGGAGCAGTCGGCATGAGTGGGTGGGGTCTTCCCCGCTCCCACACCAGGGTGGGATCTCTCCAGGGTGGGAGGGGCAGGGTCCACACGAGACCTGCCTTTGCCCAGGGCAACTTTGGCAGCGTGGAGCTGTGCCGCTATGACCCTCTGGGCGACAACACGGGCGCCCTGGTGGCCGTGAAGCAGCTGCAGCACAGCGGGCCAGACCAGCAGAAGGACTTCCAGCGGGAGATCCAGATTCTCAAAGCGCTGCACAGCGACTTCATCGTCAAGTACCGGGGTGTCAGCTACGGCCCTGGTGAGCCACTTCCCGGACAGGCGAACGGAGGGCGCTCTTGAAGTCCCGGTCCTCAAAGGACTGTCTGGGAACACCCCCAGGGTGCCAGTGCCAGGCCTGGCCCCACCCCGGAGTCAGCTTGGGCAGACTCTTCACCCCCCACCCTATCCCCCCACCCCGGAGCCTGTTTCCCCTTCTGCAAAGTGGGTCATCACGAGCTTTAAACAGATCCATGGAGGTGGACGCAGGTGCTTCAGAGATATTAGGGATCAATGTCCCTGTCGCCGCCCCACTTCACCAAAACAGCAACGCCGCCGAGGGCCGGAGGGAACCCCCTGTGAAAGGGGGTGGTGGTGGTAGTGGTTGAAAGGGCAGGCGACCTGGAAGGGCCCTCCGAGGTGACGCCGCCCCGCCCCCAGGCCGCCAGAGCCTCCGCCTGGTCATGGAGTACCTGCCCAGCGGCTGCCTGCGCGAGTACCTGCAGCGGTACCGCGCGCGCCTGGACGCCGGCCGCCTGCTCCTGTACGCCTCGCAGATCTGCAAGGTGCGCGGGCGGACGTGTGGGTTGGAGGTCTAAGGTGGGCCAGGGGGTTCAAGTCAGAGTTAGGGCTCCGCCTCATGTCGGAAGCTTGTTTGATGGGTCCGGGTGGGCGTTGGGATGGGATTCCAGGGCAGACCCGGATCCCCTCTGCTCCTCAGGGCATGGAGTACCTGGGCTCCCGCCGCTGCGTGCACCGCGACCTGGCCGCGCGCAACATCCTGGTGGAGAGCGAGGCGCACGTGAAGATCGCCGACTTCGGTCTCGCCAAGCTGCTGCCGCTGGACAAGGACTATTACGTGGTCCGCGAGCCAGGCCAGAGCCCCATCTTCTGGTGCGGACTCTACCCCGACCCACCGCCCCATGGCTCCGCCCCCAGGCGTGGCCCCGCCTATCACCTCTAGGAGCCCTGGGGGCATCATAGGTCACGTGTTAGGCTGCTAACAGTTAGGTCGGCAGTTCAAATCCAGTAGCCACTCCGTGGGAGAAAAAGGGCGGCTTTTCACTCCTGTAAAGAGCTCCTTTGGAAAACTTACGGGGACAGTTCTACCCTGTCCTATAGGGTCGCTACGAGTCAGCATTGACTTGATTTCAGCGAGTTAAAAAATTTTTTTAATCACCTCTGCTACATTGTCCCAGCTACCTTAGTCTAGACAGCCACCGCCTATCTTTTCTGGCGATCGCCTAGCCCTCCCCTCTACTCCCCGCCCCTTTCCCTAAGCCCCTCCCCCGACTCCTCCCACACAATTATCACAGTCCTGGCCACGCCCACCTAGCTTCCCGTTCCCCACCCTCTTGGCCCTGCCCGCACCCCCACAAGCTTGGAGGCTCTCCCCATCTCACAGCCAGAGAAATGGAGACCCCGGGCAGGCATTGACTTCACTGACCCCCCAGCTCAAGGCTGACCCCTTCCGCTGTCAGCGACCCCAGGCCTGTCTGTCCCCTTAGGTACGCGCCGGAGTCCCTCGCAGACAACGTCTTCTCGCGCCAGTCCGACGTCTGGAGCTTCGGGGTTGTCCTGTACGAACTCTTCACTTACAGTGACCGGAGCTGCAGCCCCTCGGTGGTGCGCCCCTCTGCACTCTTCACATTGTTGCCTCCCAGTGGGAGGGACCCCGGAGGGCCCACCCCCACCCATGGCTGACCACTCCTCTCCATCACAGCCCCCCTCCCCACTGCTTCTCCTTGCAGGAGTTCCTGCGGATGATGGGGTGTGAACCGCAGGCCCCTGTCCTCTGCTGCCTGCTGGAGCTGCTGGCAGAGGGCCAGAGGCTGCCTGCACCCGCTGGCTGTCCCACCGAGGTGAGCCCTGTTTCCTCCATGGGCTCAGGGGTCTCTGGGCTCCACCCTCTGTTTCTGGGGCGTCCGGCCAAGGGGATTCTGGTCTCCACTTGGCAGCTGGCTCACTGAACGCAGGCCTCAACCTTGCTCAGAGCCTCCGCTCACCCAGCTCCAAAGTGAGACTAACACCCCATTGGTGGGTATTGCCCGGTCAGGTGGAAGGGCAACGGGGAAGAGGAAGACCTCGATGAGGTGAATCCACACGGTGTCTGGGATGAGCTAACACATCAGAACACTTGTGAGGATGGCACAGAACCAGGCTGTTGCCTGCTCTTGTCCCTAAGTCCCTCTGATTCAGAACAACAATTGCTGGTCGTGGTGTCAGAGTAGCTAACACCAATCGCCCGCTGGCGCTCAATCGACCAATAGGCGCTCAATCAACTACTCACAACTTGCATGGGAGTGGCTGGTCTTTCTTAAGTGGATTCATCCAGCCCACAAACTTTCATTGAGCGCCCACTGTGTACCAGGCTCTGTGCTGGGTGCGGGAGCCAGGCAGGGGCCAGAACAGACACTCCTGTGGGAATTATTATCCCCCCAAATCCCCCAAGCCTACAGCCATCGAGTCAATTCCAATTGCTCCCCTAGGGTTTTCCAAACTATTGATCCGCAGTGGTAGGCAGACAGCTCCAACTTTCTCCCACAGTGCAGCTGTGGGGCTTGAACTACTGACCATGTGGTGAGCAACCCGGTGCACCACCGGGGATTCTGTCTTGGGTGCTTTCACATTGGTTTTGACTCCTAGGCACCCCATGTCCAGTCGAGTAAGACACTGCCCTGCCCTGGACCATCCTCACAATCCTTATGTTTGAGTCTGTTGTTGTAGGCACTGTGTCATTCCTGTTTTTCACTGACCTACTTTCACCACGCATGATGCCCTTCTCCAGAGACTGGTCTCTCCTGAAAACATGTCCAAAGTACGAGAGGCAAAGTCTTGCCATCTTGCTTCTAAGGAGCATTCTATTTCTTCAAATCTGTTCATTCTGCCAGCAAACCAAAGCATATTCCATACGCTTCGTCAACACCCTAAGTCAAAGGCATTGATTCTTCTTCAGTCATGCCCCGTCATATCCGGCTTTTATGTGCATGCAAGGGGATAGAAAGCATCATGGCTTGGCGCAATCGTGCCCTCGTCCTCAACATGGCCTGTTCACTTTTTAACATTTGAGTCATTTGCAGCAGACTTGCCCAATGCCATGTCATTTGACCTCCTGATGGCTGCCCCCATGGCCGTCAGGGGTGGGGCCAAGGGAAATGAAATCCTTGCTAATTTCTATCTTGTCTCTGTTCATCCTGATGGTGCTTATTTGGTCCCGTGGTGAGGATTTTTTTTAATGTGTATACTGTAGGTTGTAGTCCTTGATCTTCACCCGTAAGAGCTTCAAGCCCTCTTCACTTTCAGTAAGCAAGGTGTGTCCTCTGCATACCGCAGGTGGTTCAGGAGTCTTCGATCCTGATGCTATGACTTCATCCACACAGTCCGTTTTCTCAGATTATCTGCTCAGCATACAGATTGAAGGAGTATGATCAAAGGATACAACCCTGGCACACACTATTCCTGATTTTAAACCACACAGTATTCCCCTCGATCTGTTCCAACCACTGCTTCTTGGTCTAGGTACAGGTTCTGCATGAGCACAATTAGGTGCTCTGGAATTCTTTTTTTTTTTAATGATTTTATTGGAGGCTCATACAACTTTTATCACAATCCACACATACATCAATTGTGTAAAGCATATTTGTACATTCGTTGCCATCATCATTCTCAAAACATTTGTTCTCCACTTAAGCCCCTGGCTTCTCATTCCCCCCACCCCTTTCCTCCCTCCCTCCTGAACCCCTGATAATTTATAAATTATTATTTTGTCATATCTTACACGGTCTGACATCTCCCTTCACCCACTTTTCTGTTGTCCGTCTCCCAGGGAGGAGGTTATATGTAGATCCCTGTAATCGGTTCCCCCTTTCCACCCCACCCTCCCTCCACTCTCCCGGTATCACCACTCTCACCACTGGTCCTGAAGGGATTATCTGTCCTGGATTCCCTGTGTTTCCAGTTCCTATCTGTACCAGTGTGCATCCACTGGTCCAGCCAGATTTGTAAGGTAGAATTGGGATCATGATAGTGGGGGGGGGAGGAAGCGTTTAGGAACTAGAGGAAAGTTGTATGTTTCATCGTTGCTACACTGCACCCTGACTGGCTCGTCTACTCTGGAATTCTTATGCTTCATATATATATATTTATGATCCACACAGTCAATGCCTTCATGGAGTCAATAAAACACAGGTAGATATTCTTGACAATATCCTCTGTGTTCAGCCAAGATCTATCCAGCATCAGCATTGCCATTCCTCACTCCGTGTCCTCTTCTGAATCCAGCTTGCTTTTCTGGTGGTTCTCTGTTGATGTGCCGCAGCAACTGCTTTTGAGTTACCTTCAGCAAAATTGTACTGAAGTGTGATAGAAATGATATGTTGGATAATTCCCACATGCTGTTGGCTCACCTGTCCTTGCAACGACCATAGATGTGCATCTCTTCCAGTTGCTTGTCCAGTAGCCATCTTCCAAATTTCTTGGCATAGACCAGTGAGCACTTCCAGTGTTGAATCTATTTGCAGAGCTATCTCGATGGGTGTTCTGTCAATTCCTGGAACCTCAGTTTTCGCTAATGACTTCAGAGCAGCTTGGATTTTTTTTCCTTTGATAGCACCAGTTCTGGATCATGTGTGACCTTCTGAAATGGTGGAACATTGACCAATTATTTTTGGTATAGTGACTCTGTGTACTCCTTCCATCTTCTTTGGATACTTCCTGCACCATTCAATTGTTTGCCGATAGAATCCGTCTATCTTTCAACTCAAGGCTTGAATCTTTTCTTCAGCTTTTTCAGCCTGATACATGCTAAACATGCTTTCCTCTTTCCCCCACTAGTTACAGGCCTCTGCACATTTCATTATCATGCTTTACTTTGTCTTCTCACACTGGTTTTTGAAGTTTGCTGTTCAGCTTTTACTTAATCATTTCACCCACTTGCTTTAGCTGCACTACATTCAAGAGCACGTTTCAGAGTTTCTCCTGATGTCACTTTTGGTCTTTTCTTTCTTTCCTATCTTTGAAGTGCACATTTTTGCTTTCTTCATGCCTGCTGTCCTTGATGTCATATCCAGCCATCAGTGTTCCATGTATCAGATCTATTCTTGATCCGATTTCTAAATTCAAGTGGGTTATACTCAAGTCTACGTGACAAGCCAACCACTAATGCCAAAGATGAAGAACTGGAAGATTATTTGTCTCTCACGGAGTGGTTTCAATTTAATTCAAGTTTCAGCTTGAACTTGCGTATAAGCAACCGATGGTCTGTTTCACAGTCCGCCCCTGGGATTTGTTCTGTTATTGAACTTCTCCATCACCTCTTTCTGCAGATGGAGTTGAGTCCTGTGTTATGCCATCTGGCAAGATCGATATGTATTGTTGCTGTGACATAGACGGAGGGAAAAGTATTGACAATAAATAGGTCTTTGATCTTGAAAAGTCCTGCTCCATTTCTATCACCAAGTCTGTATTTTCCAACCACCACCTTCTTGTTAGGCGTCCAGGTGGCGTAGTAGGTTACACAAGGCCAGCAGTTCAAAACCAGCAGGCAGTTCTGCAGGGTAAGGATGAAGCTTTCTGCGCCCTTAAACATTTACAGTCTCAGGAATTCCAGAGGGCGGGCATGAGTCGGAACGGATGCTTTGATAGGGAGTTGAATAACCCTTCTTGGTTTCCAACATTCGCATTCTAATCACCAGTAATTATCAATGCATGTTTGATCAATTTCAGGCTGCAGAAGTTGGTACAACAGATAAACCCCAAACCAACTCCAGTGTTTTCGTCTTTGGCATTCGTGGTTGGTTGGTGAAGTTGAATAATAATTGCATTAACGGGTCTTCCTTGTAGACATAGGGACATTGTCCTATCACTGGCAGTGTTGTCTTTTAGGATAGCGCTTGATGTGTTCTTTCGACAGTGACTGTGACCATATTTCTGTCCAATTGGTCAGTGAGCACAGAGCAAAAGAGAACGTTCCAGTGACAAATACATTGAAGGGGTTAACGGGGCTGTGGCAGAGAATGACACGGTGGTGATGGGGTGTTTCTTAACGGTGGTAACACCTGAGATGGGTCCTGAAGAATAAGAAGGAGCCCCTCCCCCCCCCCTCAAACACACACACCATGGGGAGAGCTGGGTGAGACCATCTGCAGTGGAGGGACTGGCAGTTGCAAAGTCCCCGAGGTGGGAACACAATTGACAGTCAGACAGAAGCTAATGTGGCTGCAGTCGAGCCAGGGAGAAGGGCATGGAGCACAGTAAGGAAAGGGTTGAGATGTTGTTCCAAGAGCCAGAGGGGGTTTTAGAGCAGGGGAGCGATGGAGGGTGGAGGGGGTCTCATTTATGTTTTAAAACTAAAAATGGGAGCACCTTCTTCCTACTGCTTGGCCATGGCCCCTTTGCCTCCCCACAGGTTCATGAGCTCATGAAATTGTGCTGGGCCCCCAGCCCACAGGACCGGCCTTCCTTCAGCACCCTGGGTCCCCAGCTGGATGCACTGTGGAGTGCAAGCAGAAGGTAGTGACCAGGGCCTGGGACGGTGACTTCCTGGCTCATTCCGGTGTCGGTGTCGTGTGGAACCCTCCTGCACACGGGCCTCTGGGACCCGGTCTCCATGGCCTGGATTTGTGACCTCAGGCTGGGAGCCACCCTCTCTGGACCTCAGCGCTTCTAGGAGTGACCCCTGCTTCACAGCAACCTCTACGGAGTGAAGGACATTGCATCGTGCAGGTGCCCCTGGCTTGAAGAACAAGAGGGTCTTGCAATCTTTGGAATTTGTACAGTTGCTTCAAGGCAGAAGGCTGGCGGGAGTCTCCCAAACCCACCTGGCACTGACAAGATGACCCGAATTTAAGTCCCGCCCATCTGCCCCACAAGCGGGCCCTGAGTTTGCAGCCTTACTTAGCTAGTGACGCTGTAGCAGACGTAGAACAAGTGGGTGCGGTGGCTTTAATAAACAGTTGTCTACTTCTCCCAGGTTAGGAAGCGAGGCCTTGGCTCTAGGGGAGGCCTTTTCTCTTTGTGGGTACTGGGTTTCTCTTTGCGGGTCCTGCGCTTGTTTCCAAATTCCTTGGGGAGCCTCCCACTCCCCCCAGTGGTCGATCTCCTGGCGGTATGGTATCTCTCTCCCCCACCTCCGCTTGCTGGCTAGCTTGTTTAATCTCTTTCCTATCTCAAAAGATATGGACCCAAGGCACATCCTACCCTCATCAGGTCTCGTTCATAAGACAAAGACAACCCTTTCCTGAATGTGATGAGGGTTCCAACACACGGGGAGGGGGTGGGGGTGGGGGGCACAATTCCATCCATGACATGAACATTCACGGAACCTTCTGTCCTCGGCTCCAGGGTTCCCCTCGCCTGTCTCTGACGAGCCAAGACTAGCAGCAGCCTTCGGTTGGAAGCTCAGTCTCCGGTGGCCCGTGTGTCTGGATTGGTGTAAGGGGTCAGCGAGGCTGGGGTCCAGGTGTGATGCTGATTGCACCCGAGGGCCCTGACCTTCAGCTCTCCCACCTGCCCAGCCCTTTCTGTTCTGACCTTCAGGGTCGTGTGGAAGCCTTGCAGGAGCTTTGCAGGGAGTCCAAGGAGGGAAGGCATTTCCAGCAGATGACGACAGGTCGAGGGTGAGCACTCAAGGATGCAGCGGCTAGGAGAACCCAGTGTTCCGCCATCCTGTGTGCTGTGCAGCTGTGGGGAAGTGGCCTCCCATCTCTGGGCCCCAGTGCCATGGCCTGTAAAGTGGGTCGAGCAACATGCTGGGCCCCTGGCTGTACAGAGTCCACCTCTTGAGGCATTCCACTTGAAGTGGCGTGTACAGTCAGTCCCTGGACCAGGTCAGGTCCCACTGATGCTCCTCCACCTGTCTTGAAGCCCTTTCTGCCACTTTGGTCACCCCAGAAAACTCTTACTCAGCCTTTAAAACCCCAGTGTTCATCTCCCTCCTATCTTCCTCGGTCTCTTCCCCTCCCCCGGCTCTGTTCTTCCCTGCAGCCCACCCTGATGCCAGCTCTGGAGATGTCTACGTTCAGCTCTTTCTCCCGCTGCCTGGGTGGGGCTCCTTGAGGGTAGGATGGGCACAGAGGGGGGGGTGGGAATGGTTGTTGAATGAATAAAGGAATTGGTTGGACAAGATGGTTGGTTGGACATGAGGCAATGGGGAACCTTGGAGAACGTGGGAGCAGTGCAGAGTTGTGGTTTGGGCTTCAGGCTAGAAAAGTCTTCATGGCTGTCATGGAGACTCTTGACAGCCAGAGAACGATCCTGGGGTAGCTGGATTCCTCTCACCCCCGCCTCCCCTTCCCACACCCTCGCTCCCAATCCCCGTTTCCCCAGTCCCCGCTGCTGTAAGTGGCTCTGTGCTGGGGGAGCTGATTACAGGTCCTCAGAGGCTGGAGGGGATAGGCCACTCTGAGACGTCAGAGGGCAAGGTCGAGGGTGGGCTGGATGCCACTGTGGCCAACGTCATCAGGGACTCAACCAGGCCCCCAGCCATGTCCCTCGCCCAGGACTGCTGGTGACTGGAAAGATATGGAGGATGACACAAATGGGTAGAGAGGCAGACAGAGAGAGAGTTGAGAATAAGGAACTGAAAGAGACACTGAATCAGAGAGAGCCAGAGAAAGAGGAAGGGTTAGGGAGGGAGCAGAAAGACCGAGTGAGAGAGAAATAGAGACCCGGAGAGAGAAGGAGAGAGATTGACTCAAGAGAGAGAGAGAGAGAAGTATCAAGAGAGAACCAGGGGGAGGGATGGAGCAGTAGGGAGACTGAGATCTCTGTGGAAAGGTGAGCTGGTTTGGTGCAAGGGTCCCCTTGCCTCAGGTTGACGCTCTTATTTCCTAGCCTCAGTTTCCCTGTGACTGAAAATAGTCCTAGCCCCTCCCCACCAAAGGCTGAGCAAACCCTGGGCTCTCCTCAGGACCCCGTTCACTGCCTGGCAGCCCCAGAAGCCCCTAGTTCCGGCAGCCAGAGGTCAGGGCTTGGCCTTGGGGAGCGTAGGTCTCTGCTCGTATGACGTTGGGCGCGTCTGGGACCTTGTCAAAGCTTGTTTCCTTATCTATAAAATCATGGGGACCCCTGGTTGGGAACTTCACTGCATCTTTTGTGCTGGGTTTGTCTATGTCACCTCTTTGAAATGCTTTAAAAAAAGATTTTTTAAAAAGATTCCTGGCCCCCTGATCTCAGGGAGAGGTAGAGCCAAGGTGTTGGACTGGAGAGAAGGACCCTCCATCTGACCTCATTCTTGGCCTTCTGGAATGTTCTGTCCCTCCTTCTAGGCTCCCAGCTGGGGCGTTCAGACACCTATAACAGGAGTCTGGCTGCCTGGCTTTGCTTGTTGCCATGCATGGGCTCTGCTGCTGTTGCTGCTGCAGCCTGCACCCATGCCCAAGCCTGAAGCAATGTGGTGCCCACTTTGTGTGCACGCGTGCGCGTGTTGGTCCCTGGAGTCTGGGCAGCAGTGGCCCATGGTGACTGCAAATGGGAGCCCATGGCGACTGGGAATGGGAGCCCAGGGGTAGGGTGGGGCAGAGGCACACAGGGACACGCACTCACCTGGGGTCAGGGTCCCTTGAAAATGAATAGGATGGGGTGGGATATAAAAAGGCTGTTCCCCAGGTCGACTCCCCCAAATATAGATGTTAGACCTAGGACACTGCTTGCAACTAATGGTAATGGATTATCAAGTTATCTCCCTGAAGACACCAGCCATCCTGAGCAAGCAGACCCCACTGTTTCTCCCAATGGGCAGGCTCACTCCCTGCTGTGGGGGACAGTGGATGGCCTCCCCTGAAAGCTTAGGCTAAATAAAGTCTCCAGCTCTAGGGCAATCCTCCCACTTTTGTCACATGTGTACCCCTCCCCTTCCTATTGTGTGTACAGTGAACCCTCGTTTATCGCGGTTAATCGGCTCTAGGCCCTACCGTGATAAATGAAATTCCGCGAAGTAGGATCCCTTATTTGTAAATCAAATATTTTCGTAGTTAGAGCATAGAGGACATGAAAAACCACCCTTTAGTCACCATTACACTCATATTACCCAATTTATTAAACGAAAAAGGGAAAATACAGTAAAACATTTTGGACGTTACAATTATAATTTATTTATTATATTATTTATGGCATCTAGTTTACAGTATTACATATTTCACATACAGTATTATTATACATAGTTCTTACAAATACTGTAATCAATAGCCTATGAAATGACTTAAGGGATGTACTCTACAGGTGGGTCGCCGTCTTTTTCCTCTGAAGGAGCGGGTGTAGGCAGTGGGTGCTGTTACCCAAAAACCACGATAGAGTGAAGCCACGGAAGTCGAAGCGCGAAGTGGCGAGGGTTCACTGTACACCCCTAGATTGTCCCCCTCATTACAGCATTACCTATAGTGCAACCTTTTCCTGTGATGTATGTCTTTGCCTGTAGTTAGGGGGCTTGCACACCCCCAAAAGATATATAAGCCTTGGTTAGCAATAAATCACTCTCTCCTGACCTCTCGGCCTGAGCTGTGTGTGGACCTGGCTGTTGAGATCATGGCCATCCGGGAGGTGAGCAGGCTACCATGAACGTGTCTGACTTCTTTATTTCACTCTCTTCTCTCTCTCTCTCTCTGACTTTACTGTAATCTTTACTTATCATCGCTGTACAATCGCACCTATCGGATCCGCGATGATTTGTTAGGGGCTGGCTCCCTGACAGGGCGGGGAGGGTTCTGGGCCCAGCCCTTCTCTGATCTGGCTCTGGGTGAGGCCTAAGCAAGGCAGAGCGGGGTGGTGCTTGGTGGGGCTCTTGAAAATGCCTGTATTTTGGTCTTCGTGGATGTTCTGGTTTAAATTGTGCCCTTTCAAAATGTGTGGTAGACCCTGGCCCATGTCATCTGTCGCCATGGAATCGGTTGACTCTCAGTGACCCTAAGGTCAGAGTAGAACTGCCCCGCAGGGTTTCCAAAGCTCTGAATTCTGGACCACTGCCACATCCTTCTTCCCAGAGGCTGGTGTTGGGAGATCCAACTGTCAGCCTTCCCATCAGCAGCCGGTCTCTTTAACCACCGCCATTTGGAAACAACCCCAGCACCAACCGCCTGCCATCTGGAGAAGGCTGACTTCTAGGGCCCACAGACAGAGCAGAGCCGCTCCCTAGGGTCTCCGAGGCTGCACACCTTTCTGAGAGGACAGAGCCATCTCCTTCGCTCATGAAGCAACTGCCGGGTTCCAACGCTGACCCACTGCAGCCTCCTGGCTCCCTGGGTCCTAGAACTAAGGTGGAAAGGTGTTTGGGCATGGGTTTTCTTGACGACGTTCAGGAGGGGTATTAGTGGAGGATGCACCCATCTTCTTCAAGGCACAAAGGGGCAGATGAAGGCTCAGGAAGCAAGCAGAGATGGCGGTGGAGACTGCCACCAAGGAGCCAAGGGAGAGAGCGGAGAAAATGGATTTGTGCCTGTGGCTGGATTTAAAGATTTGGCATTCAAATCGTGCTCACCTCCATGGCTGAGCTTGGGGGCCTGTCCTCATGGTTAGAAGCCCACTGTGCCAGCAAGGCTCCAGATGGGGTAGCCACGACTGGGAGTTGATTTGACTGGCTCTAATTAAAAATTTTTAAAAAATAAATCATTTTATTGGGGGCTCTTACAGCGCTTATAACAATCCATACATCAATTGTATCAAGCACATTTGTACATATGCTGCCATCATCATTTTCAAAGTATTTTCTTTCTGTTTGAGCCCTTGGTATCAGCTCCTCTTTTTTCCCTCCCACCCTGGTGGGATCTTATTTTCATATCTCCCCCCGCCCACTGTCTCCCTTTGCCCACATTCCTGTTGTTCATCTCCCCTGGGGGGGGATTATATGTTGATCATTGTAGTCGTTCTCCATTTCTCCCTCTTCTACCCCCACCTTCCCCCTACCCTCATGGCATCACTATCCCATTGCTGTTCCTGAGAGGTTTATCTGTCCTACATTCTGTGTGTCAAGAGCTCTTATCTGTACCAGTGTACATGCTCCGGTCTAGCCAGATTTGTAAGGTAGAACTAGGGTCATGATAGTGGTTGGGAGGGAAGCGTTACAGAACTAGAGGAATGCTGTCTGTTCCATCGGTGCTATACTGCACTCTGGCTGGCTCATCCCTTCTTTGTGACCCTTCTGTGAGGGAGTGTTCAATTATCTACAGATGGGCTTTGGGTCTCTACTCTGACCCCCATCATTTACATTGATATATGTTTATTTTAAGTCTTCGGATGCCTGATACCTTATTCCATCAACACCTTGTGATCACACAGCCTGGTGTGCTTCTTCAATGTGAGCTTTGTTGCTTCCCTGCTAGATGGCTGTTTTCAAGCCTTTAAGACCCCAGACACTATATCTTTTGATAGCTGGGCACCATCAGCTTTCTTCACCACATTTGCTTATGCACCCATTTTGGCTTTGGCAATTGTGTCAGGAAGGTGAGCATCACAGAATGCTGGGTTATTAGAACAAAGTGTTCTAAAAGGGCATCTAGGTCTACAAGAATCATCTGATTCCCTGAGGACTCGCTCCCAGTGCTGAGCGCCCCACCCCCACCCCCACCCCTGCCCGAGACCAGTGGGGCAGGGGCCACCAGTGTTCTTGATCTCCCCGTCTGTGAGATAAGCTGGCCGGGGGCTGATCCTACCATGCCAATGAGCTCTGTACCACCTGTGGGCTTGAGCCTCCCCTTCTCTGAGCACTGGGGTGGCCGTGCCTACTGGGCAACTCAGGTCCCTGAATTCTTGGAGTGCCAGATGTAGGAATGGGGTGGGGCTGGAGAGTCCAAACGTCCCACCTCTTCCCTCCTCTGCCCAACACGTGCACCGCTGTACCTCTTGACATCGCAGCAAGGAGGGGCTGGGTCCATTCAAGGGCCTACCTGGCCTCTCCTGCCCTCCAAAGCGTCCTTGATGGGGCAGAGGCCCACAGCAGGATGGCCCCCTTTTCCAGGCTGAAGGATGCTTCTCACTTCGGTTCCACGTGGCCCCAGGAGCTCCTGGTTTGCCACAAACCGTGGCTGGAACTCCTTGACCATTAACCACTGTGGAATCACTGCCAAGTCGTGGCTCCCCACTGCGTGGGATTCAGGCTGGGACAAAAGCTGAGTCTGGGAAGTGGGAGCTTGACCTGAGTCGCCTTGAGAAAGCAGCCACTGGGACCGCAGCAGAGCTGCTCCGGCCATCTGCAGCCGCTTCAAGGAAGTAAGACATTTGCAGCCTCCTTGGGGTTTTGAAGGATGCGTAGGAGTTTGCCAGGCACAGGAGTCTCTCATCAAACTCTGCCTGGGACTCCCCGATTCCTCAGCCACTTAAGAGGGCAAAGGGCTCAGCATCCTGGGAGGAAGTGAAGGCCAGGGTGCGGTGGGTGGGGCTGGGGGCTGCCCTGCCTCAGGACAAGCGGTTCCGCTTGCCACAAACCAGGTCAGGCTGGCTCAGCGCCTCCCACATGAGCAGCATCTCGTAGGGCAAAAAGCGATGCACCAGCAGCAGCTCCCTGTAGAAGCAGGGGTCAAAAGAAGGCAGGCGCGGCGAGGGAGCGTTCATGCCCCCGGTGCGGATGCCGCTGTGCCTGGTGGGCTTCAAGCCCTCGTGCTCTAAGCACATGCCCAGGAAGACGTCGTCGATGGGGAAGAGGTCCAGGACGGCGGCAGCCCGGCGCAGGGCGTCGGCTGTGAAGCGGGACAGGAGGAAGCCACCGCCCCCACAGTAGGGCGGGTACTCCTCCTTCTGCAGCACCACCTTGGGGATGTAGTACTTGCTCCAGGGGATCCGGATGGGGCCCACATTTGTAATCAGGTGTCCCGAGAACAGGTGGCGGCTGGGGTCGTGGCCCTGCAGGTAGGCAACCATGTTGTCCGTGTGGGCAAAGACATCATCGTCCCCGTTGAACAGGAAGCTGACATTGCTGCACCGGGTCCCCTGCCACTGCAGGAACAGAGCCTGCAAGGGTGGGGGAGGGGTGTGAGGGATGGGGGTGGGGGAGGGGGGATTGGCACTGGCATCTCCCAGTCAGGCAGCCCAGGTTCCAGACCATAGATTCCCACACTTAGTTGGCCTACCACCTGTTTTCAAAGTATATAGATAGGAGTCATGGCCCTACGAGCAATTACGGTTTTGCATCCTCTAGAACACTGGTTCTCCACCTTCCTCATGCCGCAACCCTTTCATACAGTTCCTCAAGGTGTGGTGATCCCCCAACCAGAACATGATTTCCGTTGCTACTTTATTCCTGTCATCTCCATACTGTTATGCATCGGGCAACCTCGGTGAAAGGGTTGTTCGACCCCTAGGTGGAGAACCACTGCTCTAGAGCCTAAGCCAGGATGGGGAGTGGGCTTCTGCAGCCTCCCTTGATTGTTCTGGGCCCCCACAGGTGGGGGTATCACCCACTTTGGGAAACATTGCTCTAGACCCTGCCCTGAGGGATAAGGTGGGAAGCCCCCTCCCTGCCTCAACATCTGTCTCATCTTAGGGCCTGCCCCCAAGGGGCTTGTCTGAGACTGGGGGATGATGTTCGGCAAAACGCCAGAAATGGTCAGGCTCCTGTGTGCTGCTGTTTCTCTGAACTC